TTGAATGGCGATCAGAAGCGGAAGTGGTCCTCCACCCCACCCCCAGTAGTTTTCTGGGACAGGTGACAGTATGTGCTCAGATCTATGCTTACCAGCGTACAGCCGCATCCTATCATTGGTTTGTACGGGCGGCTGTACGCAACACCTGTGACTCCTGGGTGCAGAAATATGGAGGCTTTTCCAGTTTACTGTCCTCTGTGCCCATGTGTATGAGCCTAAATCTGTGCCTAGCAATACAAATATCTGATGATCCCCCCCCCAGGAAGGTTTTATCAAACATATATGGTGACAGCGCTCTGTCTCCAGCTTGTCCTCCTGTGATTGCACCCTGTCACATGTGCTCCTATTGGACACTACAAGCAGCTCTGCCGACACACACTATACTGTGCTGGCATGTACCAGCGTTGACACCTTTCGGCTAGGTTCATACCTATGCACTTTGCGTTTGATCCATGTTTGAACTTGCGGTTTTGATGCATTTTTTTACAAAATGCACTACATGCTTTTCTGCAGCGTTTCCATTGAAGTCTATAGAACCAAAAATGCAACTTTTTGCATTCAAAAAAGTACGTGACCATTTCTAAAAAAATGCACCGGTGAAAAAAAACGGAGATGTGAATGTGTCCCATAGGAAATCATGTTAAATGAACTGAAGTGCGTTTCTGCAAACAGCAAAATGCTGCAGAAAACGCTTAGGTGTGAACCTACGGTAAGAGAGCCTGTCCTGAAAAAATGCCATTGCTACAGCACATGGAGACAGAGTGGCAGAAAAGAGGCTGCAGGGGATCAGCAGCACTGAGATGCAACAAAAGGTGAAAACGGTACTTTGGTTAACCCCTCCTAGCCCTGGGGTCCCTTTTCCTATTACATCTGGGGGGGTAGAAACGTCTGCCTGATTATGTGACCACTGTGATTGGCTGTTACAGTGGTCACATGACTGGAAGCCAGTCCTGTTGGCTCCCAATCATTACTAGAGACCAGAAACTGTCTTTGAAAGTTCAGCCACTGTACTGGTGGGAGTGCAGTGAACACATGCTCCTTACAGAAACCTCTGCCATCAATGGACGCCTATGTGCAGCATGAAGGCGGTAAAGTCCACCCTATTTGCTGCCGTACATATGTATTATGTTACAGGTGGCGGCCAATGACATTTTTTTTCCTACTCATCTTTTCTGACTGTTTTTCACTAGTTTTGCATTTGGCTAGGGTCAGTGTCACTACTGGTAGCATGAGGAGATACCTGGACCCTACAGAGGTTGCACAGGCAGTCCAACTCCTCCAGGTTGGCACATCAATACGTGACATTGCCAGAAGGTTTTCTGTGTCTCCCAGCACAGTCTCAAGAGCATGGAGGAGATTCCAGGAGACAGGCAGTTACTCTAACAGAGCTGGACAGGACCGTAGAAGGTCCTTAACCCATCAGCAGGACCAGTCTGCTCCTTTGTGCAAGGAGGAAACAGGATGATCACTGCCAGAGCCCTACAAAATGACCTCCAGCAGGCCACTGGTGTGAATGTGTCTGACCAAAAAATGAGAAACAGACTTCATGAGGGTGGCCTGAGGGCTCGACATCCTCTAGTGGGCCCTGTGTGCACTGCCCGGCACCATAGAGCTCGACTGGCATTTGCCATTGAACACCAGAATTGGCAGGTCTACCACTGGCACCCTGTGCTTTTCACAGATGAGAGCAGGTTCACCCTGAGCACTTGTGACAGACGTGAAAAGGTCTGGAGAAGCCATGGAGACATTATGCTGTCTGTAACATCGTTCACCATGACCGTTTTGGTGGTGGGTCAGTGATGGTCTGGGGAGGCATATCCATGGAGGGACACACAGACCTCTACAGGCTAGACAATGGCACCCTGACTGCCATTAGGTATCAGGATGAAATCCTTGGACCCATTGTCAGACCCTACACTGGTGCAGTGGGTCCTGGGTTCCTCCTGGTGCACAACTATTTCCGGCCTCATGTGGTGAGAGTATGCAGGCAGTTCCTGGAGGATGAAGGAATTGATACCATTGAATGGCCCCCATGCTCGCCTGATCTAAATCTAATACAACGCCTCTGGGATATCCTGTTTGGGTCCATCTGACGCCACCAGGTTGCACCTCAGACTGTCCAGGAGCTCAGTGGTGCCTTGGTCCAGATCTGGGAGGAAATACCCCAGGACACCATCCGTCGTCTCATTAGGATCATGCCCCGACGTTGTCAGGAATGCATACAAGCACATGGGGGCCATACAAACTACTGAGTACCATTCTGAGTTGCTGCAATGAAATTTCAGCAAAATGGACTAGCCTGCTGCATCATTTTTTCACTTTGATTTTTGGGGTGTCTTTGAATTCAGTCCTCTGTAGGCTGATAATTCCATCAAACAATGGGGCATCCTTACATTCCTAACACATTATCCAGTCCATATCAGTATAGAGATCCAGCAGGAGATTTTTCCACATTGAGATCTGATGTGTTCTCAAAGTGTTCCTTTAATTTTTTTTTATATGAGTAAGATCCAGTTAGGGGTTAGGTCTACTTTTAGGCTCCATGCACACTAGTGTTTATTTAGCTCCTAGATGCCATTATCAGCATATTTTTTTCTCTGCTTATAGAAACCAAATAGTATCTTCCTATGTGTCCAGTACACTACGTTAGGCTCTTTGCGTTTTCGGAGCTTCAGCATCTAGAGACTGAAAAAAAATTATTTTGTGGAGATTTTTTAGATGTTTTTCAGCTCCATGCACACTAACATTTTTTATAAGCTCAAAAAACACTGGTAAAAATGCTAGATAAAAAACACTGGTAATAGCGCTTTTAGTACTGTTTTAGTTGCTTTCAGATGCTTTTAGGAGTTTTAGCGTTTTTACAGTACAAGTCGAGATAAAAAAAAAGCTATAAAAAATCTGTTAGGAGCGTTTTTTTCTGCTGGAAAAACGCTCCAAAAAACTCTACAAAAGCTCAATAGATGCTAATATCCTAAAGTAGTGTGCATGGACACATGGGATAACACTATTTAGCTTCCAAGAGCAGAAAAACCATGCTGATAATGGCTTCCAGGAGCTTAAAAGAACGTTAGTGTGCATGGAAGGGCAGAAAAAAATGCTAAATGCTCCTCTGTGCTCCTAAACACTACTAAAACACTCTTAACAGCTTTTTTTAGCTTTTTTTTTTTCCTTCTACATGTACTGTGAAAATGAAAATAAAACGCTAACGCTCCTAAAAGCTTCTGAACGCTACTAAAGAGCTACTACCAGCGTTTTTCACCCAACATTTTTCCCAAGGTTTTTTGAACTTGAAAAAAAAACTAGCGTGCATAGAGCCTTAGACTCCATGTACACGGGACATTTGGAAAACACTTCTGACCGATGGAAACTGACTGCTGGAAAACTTAGGTTAAAAAATGTCTGCTTAGCCGCTTTTATGAGCGTTTGCGTTTATAAGCATTTTTTAAAGATAACCTCAGGAGACCTTCCCAAATGTCCAGAATGCACTGCAAAACAGTAAAAAATGAACTATTTCAGACATTTTGAGAGGAATAGAGAGAGCAGAAGCAGAGAGAGCAGTATGTGTTGAGATGACCTGTCTTTTCTGGTTGTATTCACTATGGATCTAATCATGAGCATAATGAGGCATGTTCTACCATTGTTTCCTTCACCTGGAACTGACTGCGCTGGTGTACCGGGTCCATTTGAATACATAGAAAACACTTTGCATGCATTTCTGATGAGGAAAAAAAAGTCTCTGGACAGCATCTGGATATGGAACAGTTAAAAAATGCTTCTAAACGCAAACGCTTATCAACGCTGTTAGCCGCGTTTACAAGCATTTGGCAATTTAAACACTGATAAAATCTACTCCTGAGTGTGGTGCGTTCAAAAAAACGACTGTAAACTCAACTGCCTGTAAACGACGGCGTGTACATGGACACATAGGAAAACATTAGGGAGAGTTCAGGGGCTGCTGAAAAAAACGCAGAAAAGCTCCTGAATGTCAGTTTAGCAGCTGCAGTGTACATGAACCCTTAGGATGGCTGTTCAGACTCTCACATAGGCCGAGTCATGACTGGTGCTCTTAATAGGGATGCCAGCAGCTGTGTGGCATTTGACATGTATGATACAATGCTGATTATGGAACAGGAAACAGGATGTCATTCTTGAACACCAGACCTGACCTGTTATAAAGGATCTAAATCCCAGTGTCGGATTAAGCCATCACCTTCTCCCCAGTTTCCTGTTTTTGCAGGTACTTGGGCAATACACGCAGGAAATGCATTAAGGAGCTCTATATGACGTCATAGTCAGGGATCAGATTTTCATGTTGTGTGATGTTCCATTTCATATAGAAATGCCCCAAGTAAGGTATATAGATTAACAGTTCAAACATGGAATACTTTAATATGGTCCCATGTGATTTCATCAATGAATAGAACACAGACTCAAAAATGTGACAGGTGAGCCAAACCTTCTTTTTTAATCCGAAAAAAGGTTCTTCCCAGAGATACACTTCAGCCTAAAATGGAACAATTACACTGGAAGTGACCCTAAGGCTCGGCTCACATTACTACAATCTGAAAGTCGACTTACGGTGCAACTTTGCCGGGTGACTTTCTGGCTTTTTGCTGGCGACTTGAGTATAACTTTCATGTGACTTGATGTGCGACGTTCATGCCATGCAACTTGGCCTGGGTAATCTTCCTGTAATGTCAGATTCAAATCACATCAATATAGAGGAGGATCCGACTTGGAGGCAACTTCAATTATAGTCTATGGGCACAAGTCGGATAGAAGTCGCCTTGAAGTAATACAGGAATCTTTTCTAAACTTCTAAAGTTGGAGCAACTTCAGTAGTGCTAATTAACCGGTTGCCCATATAGTAGGAGTACCGCTACAGGGCAGCACAAAATCACGTATATATACGTGATTTGCCTTTCTGGGTAGGGGCGCACGCTTGCTGCCCTGCCCGCACTGCCATTGGAGGCTACGGATGTCAATCACTGGGTCTCGGACGTAGATTCGCCCGTCAGCATCCAGCGATCGTCAGGGAAAGCTGACAGGGGAGAGACCTGTGTGTAATAACCAGGGGCGGACTGAGAACTCATGGGGCCCCCGGGCAATAGGGGATCATGGGGCCCCTGTGTCCTTGCCCAAACTCAAAAAAGCCTATGTAAAAGGTACCAGGCACATCTCATGGGGCCCCTTACTGACCCCGGGCCCTCGGGCAGTGCCCGAGTTTCCAAATGGTCAGTCCTGGTAATAACAAGTCTCTATCCTGCCAGCAAGGACATGCTGCTTTGTATTTCTCTGCACAGCATGTTTCCCTAGTAAAACACACACAGCACATAATATAAAACAGCACACAGTTAACCCTTTGATCACCCCAGATGTTAACTCCTTCCTGCCCAGTGCCATTAGTACAGTGTCAGTGCTTTTTATTAGCACTGATCACTGTATTAGTGTCACTGGGGATGTCAGTGGCAGTTAGTTCCCACCCACTGTCAGAATGCCCAACGCAGTCCCGATATAAGTCGCTGATCGCCGCCATTACTAGTATAAAAAAAATAAAAATAAGAATTCGGGTATATATACCGCCATTTGTAAACGCTATAACGTTCACGTAAAATGTTTTTACTGGACATGTTTTCTAGCAAAAAGTCAAAAATATTGTTTATATTTCAAAATTGTTGGCCTTTTTTTGTTAATAGCGCAAAAAATAAAAAATGCAGAGGTGATCAAATACCACCAAACGAAAGCTCTATTTGTGGGAAAAAAAGAGGTAAATTTAATTTATGTACAGCGCTGCATGACCACGCAATTGTCAGGTAAAGTAATGCAGCGCCGTATCGCAAAAAATGGTCTGGTCAAGAAGGGGGGTAAATCCTCTGGAGGGCAAGTGGTTAAGACAGCTTTCATTGACTAACATGGGGTTTCACTTGTCATGTGACTTGGGGGGTCTCACAAGTCAGATCCTAGATCACATCAGTGTGAACCAAGCCTAAATCTAACCTGCCGCAACTTGGGATCTGACTTGTGCGACTGCAAGTCACATGACATGTGAAATCCCATGTTAGTCAATGAGAGATGTCTTAATTAGCACTACTGAAGTTGCTCCAACTTTACAAAAAGGTTCCTGTACTTCAAGGCAACTTCTATTTGACCTGTGCCCATAGACTTTCATGGAAATTGGGAATGATAAAAGTCCACAAAGTGAAGATTTCCCGTCATTTTGCATTCATTATACAGACTTTGTGGACTTTTATATTTATTAATTTATTTGCTTTATGGACTCACAGAATTGTTTGAAGGGTTTCTCCCCTTTTTTCACTTTGTGGTTTTGCACATTTATGCATGTATTTATGCTTTATAAGAATTTTTTATAGTTGTTTTTCTTTTTGTTGCTGCACTTATTTATTACACTTTTATATATTGATTTATGATTTGTACTTCTTAATCTTATTTTGATGATTTAACGCTGCACTTTATTTCTATAAATAACACATTTCATGTCCTAGAGAACAACACTCACTCACTGTACTGTACCTTAGAGGAGGCAATGTTGATACCCTAGGACAGGAAGTGTGTTAGGACTAGAGAACACTTTGCCCTCCCCTCCCTTCCAAAAATAGGGAGGAGGGGTTCTGTAGTTCGGGGGGATACCGTCACAGGTCTGATAACAGTACTTGGGATAACACTACAGAGGGACCAGGAAGGTTATCAGCTTATTGCATTTCTAGCAGGATCAACATTTTTTTGTTTTTAATTTTTGAACGGATGTAGCCAAAGGCTTTCAATAGTATTTTTAACAAGGCAAAAAGGTAGCAAATAAGAGAAGTTCATTGTTGGAGTTTGCATGCACTTTAATTAAACCCCCGAACAGGGGCGGACTGACAACTCATGGGGCCCCCGGGCAATAGGAAATCATGGGGCCCCTGTGTCCTCACCAACACTCAAACCATACCCAAAAAAAGCCTATGAAAGGTATCAGGGGCATCTCATGGGGTCCCCTACTGACTCCAGGCCTCGGGCAGTGCCCCCGAAATATTTGTGATGTGAAGACACATCAGACATCACAAATTGAAAGTGATTCTCAGCCTGGGTTTACATATATGCGGTGTGGTATATCACGTGATTCGCACAGGAACTGCACCACATTCATGTGCAAATTACATGCTATTTGTGTGCGGTGCAACTGGAGTCATATATTTTGAATGGCTCTATATGCACTGCACCCGCACCAAAAACATGCAGGACCCTTTTTTTGGTCCGCACTAGAATCAGATTGCATGGGTATTCACACCTATGTGATCTGATTCTGCACATCGCACCGCTTTTGCAGACCGCTTTCTGGGTGTTGTTAACTTAACATACACACCTTCAGCAGTTCACATGAACGGGGTGCATTTCTGATGCAGTCTGGAGTTTGCACAGAAAACACTGAGAATTCCGCACCGCATCAGTGTGCACCAGGGCTAAATTCTTTAAGAAAAAATAACAAACATGTTATACTTACTTGCTGTATGCAGTGGTTTTTTACAGAGCAGCCCGGACCCTCCTCTTCTTGGGTCCCCTGCCAGCACTCCTGGCCCCTCCCTCGTGTCGGGTGCCCCCATAGCAAGCTGCTTGCTATGGGGGCACCCGCTGCTCCATGTATCCATTCACAATCGGAGCTGCTGCTCAGCCCCGCCCCCTCTCTCTTCTCATTGGCTCCCTTGCTGTGATTGACAATGGCTCGCGCTGCTGTCTCAGCCAATGAGAAGAGGGAGTCCCGGGAAAGCCAAGACTCCAGTGCACATCGCTGGATCGAGAGGGGGTTTAGGTGAGTAATAGGGGGGGCTGGGAGGGATGCTGCACAGAGAAAAGTGTTTTACTTTCATGCATTGAATGCATGAAGGTAAAAAACCTTAAACCTCTACAACCACTTTAAGATAAATCATTCAAGCTGAAAACTTGTTGCTAAAAATCTCCACACCAAGAAATCTAAGCATAAAACACATGGTCTCATCTATCAGTCTCCATGAGAGATCTCTCCACCCTTAAATTGGTTGTAAACCCTTACATGCCCAGTGACGTGACTGGCCTCAGGTGATACACAGAGATGAAACAAATCCTCCTACATATGTTGTACCTGTTTATCTACGGTCTTCTCTTCTCTACAGCCATTCAAAGTGCAGAATTTAGAAAAGTTTTCTGAGAGTTGAGAAAAAAGGGGCAGAGAGCTGAAGTCAGGGCCGTGGATAACGGGTACCACCTGTCCTCTTGTACAGTGCCCAAGCCAACAGGGGGGCCCAGGCAGCTGGGTGAATCAAATGTGGGCAGGGAGGGTGATCGGCATGGCGGGGGCAATTACTGGAACCGAACCCCTGTATGGCTCTCTGCAGCAGCGCTGGCTTTCAGCTGCTGCAGAGGGAGCCATACAGGGAACTGGGTCCAATAATTGCCCCCACCGCACCCATCACCCTCCCTGGGCACCATACATTTCCCCCTGCTACCCAGGCCCCCCTGTGTGCCCCCACACCTGCAGTGCTGCTGGCTTCCCTCCTCTCCTTCTCACCGGCAGCTGCAGTCCCGCAATAGGATCCATCAGGATGGAGACTGGGGGAAAGTTCCAGTAAATATGTCACATTTACCAGCCCCTTCCTGAATGAACATGAGTGATTGGTACCAATCACTCACTGTGTTCATTCATAACTGAAGTATAGTAAACAGTTTTTTTTTTTTCAAGGGGGCCCTGTCGGGTTGGCTGTATGGGGTCCTATGGTTTCTAACAGCAGCCCTGGCTGAGAGCTGATTGGATGTAAGGGACACCTCCCTCCACACAGCACACAGGAACAGATCTGGTTGTTAATCAGCTGAAGGTCCCTCACATGTCACCATTTTTCTCTTGGTTTCAGGAATACTTGCTGATAGCAGAGGAATGAGGAAGCAGACAGAAATGACACTTAGTGCTCTGGATTGAGACAGGTGCACACTATAGAGGAATATGCTTTGTTCATATTTCATATCTGAGTTTTACAACCACTTTAAAACGTATCACCCCAGCACAGAGCGGGCTCCATATGAAGACTTTCAGGTTTACAGAGCAATCTGGACACTGTGGATAACTTGCCTCGAGGATGGTCAGATTGTGCCCCCAAGTATGATCACACCCTCTCAAATGATCTATCACTATATTCAAAGAAGTCATATGGAAAACACTACTGCCTTGCTACTAGCAGTCCCTCTATGAAATCCTCGAAGATCAAAAGTGAGAAATATGTGAAAGAGGACAGAAGACGCAGAACTCGGTGGAAGGTCACTGAACCTTTTTAGCCATCCTGACCGACTTTCAGGCACTCAACTCTTTCCTGTTTCCTGTAGTGTTTCCTGCCTTGCAGCTGAAGATACAAGACTGCGGCACCTGATAGCATTCCATACATCCTCCATACTCTGCAAGCAGCACCTTCCCCAAGCCTTAGTGTACAATGGCCTATAAAATTCACACTACTGGAAAATAATGGGAGTAACCAACAGCAACCAGACCAGGGGCGGACTGACCATTTGGGAACTCGGGCACTGCCCGAGGGCCCGGGGTCAGTAGGGGGCCCCATGAGATGCCCCTGGTACCTTTCATAGGCTTTTTTGGGTGTGGTTTGAGTGTGGGTGAGGACACGGGGCCCCATGATCCCCTATTGCCCGGGGGCCCCATGAGTTGTCAGTCCACCCCTGAACCAGACTGAACCTTTCATGGAGTTAGATCAGTCTCAGCAAAGAAGGATGATGGGTCTACTGTGGTTTCAGCAGGAGATTTGTGTACTTTGTTCTTCATTTAATGCCTGAATACTTTTTAAAACTCACATACAGGGTGTCCGAACAAAATCTGGATCCATAGGCAAAATTGTATTTAAAAGTTTTATTACAGTATTTTCAGACTTACAGTCTAGACAAAAATTTGTTTGGTTTCGGATCGATTCGTTAAGTTACTAATTGCATTTCACTGCATTCGTAACAAAATTTGTTTAATTTTGTTTCATTTTATTTATTCGTTTTCGATCGGATTCAAATTTTTCCAATGGATTTGAAGTATTTGAATCAAATTCAGATAAAAGATATCAAATTGATCCAAATTCCTTGTGAAGAACAGCTGGTTCTATTCTATTCGAAATTCAAATTTCGAAAGATGGGTATCTTTATTCTATTCTGTTCTGTTTTTTCTTTTCTATTCTATTCTTTTCTATTTTATTCCTTTATTCTCTATTATTTTGTTATTTTCTATTCTATTCTTTTATTTTCTATTCTGATCTGATTCCCTCTATTCTTTTTAAAATTAGATTTTTGGAAGATGGCTATATTCTCTTTTATTCTATTCTATTCAAAATTTGAATTTTGGAAGATGGGTATATTCTTTCTATTTTATTTGATTCTATTTGAAATTTGAGTTTCAAAATTTGAAATTCCGAAGACGGCTATATTCATTCTATTCTATTTTTTCTATTCTGTTCTCTTCTATTCTAATCTTTAATTATCTATTCTATTATTTTCTATTACAGTCTTTTATTTTTATTATTTTATTATATGCTATTCTTTTAGTTTCTATTTTATTTTATTCTTTTCATAATTTGAATTTCGGATGATGGCTATATTCTAACACTAATACACTCAGTCTTTGAAGGAAATCAGCAATAGTCAGCAATGTTTTTGCATTTCAAATTTGTTTTCTAATTTGATTCAAATTCAGATAATTTGTTATTTTGGACCAAATTTTGTTTAATTTTTTCCGATTCATTTAAATTTGTCACTATTGTAATTCGGTAATTTGGATACATCTGAATCTCTGAATAATGAAAATTTTGTCCGAATTTCAATTCAGACCTAAACAAACTGCACATGTCTATTACAGACTTGGACTTCACAACACTTGTGTATACACCAAATACAAGAACACTAAACTTCTTTTTCATAGTAATGTTTTATTCAAGTTTTTGGTACACTCAGGGTACAGAAGTCAAAATGCACAGTGGGATATGACAATTGTCTATAGAAAAAATGCCTAATCCACAAAACTGAAGGGTGATGCAATAGCCTGAGTCAATTTAGTGCAGTCAGGAAGGTCCTAGGTGGGCCTTGGGGTAAGCATTGGGAGTGTTAGGTAGGGTTAACATCCAAGTCCTCTCAAGTCCCAGAAGATAGAGCAGTGTAAAAGACACCATAGATAGAGAGGAAGGAAAAAGTGTGTGAAAGACGGGGAAGAGGGCAAGGAGAAGGGTGTACAGCAGATGGGAGGCAGTCCACGGTCCCAGCTCATATGGTACTAAAAAGCACCAATAAAGGAGATGCTTGAATTGGTTAGAGCTTATGAAAGTGATCCAGATACTCCAAGTGGAGACATATTGTTCAAATATATCTTCTAACCACACCATTGGTTCCTTCATGCACTGTAGATGAGTCATTTCAGTGATCTGTTCTTTAATGGGAAAGGAAAGGTTGGATCGCCAGTGCCTGAGTTCTGGCAGCTAGTAAGAAGAAGCTCAAAAGTCCTCTTTTAGCATTAGAGATTGGGTACAAAATCAATGTGAGGAAGCAAGTTCTGGTGCTAGAGAGCTACTGCATCAGGGGAGAGAAAGAGCATGTGACGGGGTTTGATTCAGAGAAAATGCTCACTCTTGTGATGAGGAGGTAAACAGTAATGACTAGGCCTCACTTAGCAATGTCTTTGGAGTATTCCAGTCAGGCTTCATGAGGTACGTAAATGGCCTACATCTATAGCAAAGGTATTATTCAACTTTAGTCAGAGGAACACAGTTTGTTATTATCCACAGACACCTTATCTTCATAGGCATGTTTCTGGTAAAGGTGAAATATCGTTTTAAGGTCTGGATTGGTCATAGAAGATTTGTGACCAGAATGGCAAGATCAGGGGGCAGAACCACCAGAGATGTAACTTGGTCCCCCTCTCCTTTTTGTAGCACCAGCACTAAGATAAGGAAAAGGGGAATTTATACCAGCATGTCAGAATCTTGAAGTTTTTCTCATGAGATTGGTTCTCAAGCAGAGATGTAATAAATAACAGAAAGATGCTTCTGATTCAAGAAGATAGAATACATTTGGGAAATTAGATAGAGGCATGAGGCTGAAGGCACAGAATAACGAAGAGTAAAGGATCTCTATATACAGATCCCAATCTACTGAGATGGATTGTAAAGTCCCTTAGCTGAAAATAGAGGAGCCAAAATCCAGGAGAGAGGGTTTGATCCACAGTTAGCGCACATAAAGACTTCCACCACCTAGAATGAAATGCATTAGTTAGTAAACAGAAACTTCTACTAGACCTACACAAGAAAGCGAGGGCCTGGAGGCCTAGACAGCTTGTCATGAGACTTGGGTCCACTTAAAGTGGAGCTCCACCCAAAAGGGGAAGTTCCACTTTAAGGACTGCTCCCCCACTCCCCGTTGAGGATTGGCAACTTTGGGAAGCAGAGGGGAAGAGGGGTACCCGAAATTGGCAGGTACCCGCTCCCACTTCTGCTGCTATTGCCTAAGCGATCTGATGTGGAAGTTGTCCTCCCCCTTCCTCCCTGTAGTCTTCTGGGATATGTGGCAGGTCCCAGAAGACTATGGGACCATTTAGAAAGTGCAGCGCTACTTGCGCATGTGCAGTGGGCACCCGGCTGTGTAGCCCTGTAGACAACAGACTTCACATGACTAGAAATATAAAATGTCCAGAGATTTTGAAGACATGGGAAAAAAATTTAAATTTTTGGCAAAATTGAAAACAAAATTCAGTGTGGATTAGTTTTACAAATTGAAAGCCATTCTGTTACACTGGAAACGTGAAATGCAGTATATATAAAAGTAAATAAATGAAACTGGCTTTTTAAAATCTTATTTTTGTTATTACAAATGGAATAACAAAGACTGTATATGTTAAGAACATATCAACTATGCATGAGAGCAGGTAACCACCTCCCTTTCCCTCAAAAGTAACAGACAACCAAAAAAAAAATAAGATTTGCCCCTTAGCACCAATAGCACTGTTTATGGAATGAGAACTGTAGAAGGAAAAGTTACTTGCACTTTCATTATGGTCCTCATCATATAATTGCATAAATTATATTTTAATGTCTTTAGGGCACCTCTAGCATCCAATGATGTGTTTTGTCATCCTTGTAGCATTTGGAAAAGAATACCTTTTCTCACATTTGCAAATTACAGTTTTGCTATCAACAGAAATTGAATTGTGGAAATGTTTTTATACTCTAGATGTTGGTCTCACCATTTTACTGAGAGTAGGATAAGAAAAAACAATTTACTGACCAGACTATAGGGAAACATTTGTTGTGATAGTGGAGGACATTATTATAAATCATTTAAAGGTTATAAAGATAAACTATTTTGTCAGACAAATGTATCTGTCAATTAAGGCAGAGAGGAAAGAAACTATCATCTACTGTATCCCAACAATCACCTAACTGTAGGATGTACAAGATGGAGCCATATTGCAAATTTCTTGTTTGAGAACTGCATTAAGAAGTACAGTGTTACTTGAATTGTATTCCAAGATTCATTTGTCTTCAGCTGAGAGAACTTGCAATAATTTAAGACGTTACATGAAGTCTCAAATCTTTCATTAAGGTCTTCATGTTATATAGTTTGAATACCATGTCATAAATATATTATTTATCTTTGTAAAAGAACATATTCCACACTGTTTTTTTTTTTATTTTTAAGGAAAAAACAAAAACCGCTTTGGAAAAACATATTTTTTCCCCCAATTTCTCTGTTTTTTTTCCAGGCCTTCCCATCTTTTTACATGACTCCAAAGAAAAAAGTTTGTAAAGTTTGATTTTAAGAATTGGCCACAGCAATAGCAATAGCAAAGTGTGGTGGGACACTTTCCTGCTGAAACTTATTTTATGTTGTTGCAACAAAACAATATCATCTAATTAAGAGACAAGATTGTAAAACACAGAGGTAAGTTTCCTGTTACATTACTATAAAAAAAATTTGGCCCGAATAATCTGCCACCAAATATCCCTTCCACAGCATAATATGTGGATCAGTTTGAAAATGACCTTCAGCCACCTAGTTTGGGTTGTTTTTCAGACCAATATCATACATTGTGACAGATGACACCACCATTGAGATGAACATAGGCTTCACTGAAAAACTACATTAAATCCCACTGTTCTAAGGACCAATTATTAATATTCAATACGCCTGCCTGTGTCATCAGACAGTTCCTGGACCAGCTACACTTTATAGGGATAGAAATTATTATTTCCAATAATTTGAGAACTATGGATCCAGACTTTTAGGACACCATGTATAATGTGAATGATATACTAAATCATCTGCACACACAGTGTTATACTGGTGTATCCATGGAGCAGGTCAAACAATCTGATCGTATTATCACAGTGTTTGCCATGCACACGCAATGCACCTGGGCATGAGCTCATCTACTTTCCTAATGAACTCAAGGAGTTCTCTACTTGGATGAGATGGAGATCATGAAGTCACTGCCATACCTCTCCACTTTGTCTAATCAGAGAATGCTTTCACTCACTGAGCATATCTAAAGCGTTCTTTGAAAAATGCCCATACTGAGTGAGTGACCTCCTGTATTCACTTAACAGCAGGGTAGTCCCTAATGGGACCTGGAAGTTAGCAGTGATCATTGTAGTATTTATTATTATTATTATTATTATTATTATACAGGATTCATATAGCGCAAACAGTTTGCTCAGCGCTGTACATTACAATGGGAGACAGTACACAAGACAGCACAGTAAGGCTACGTTCACACTAGCCTTGTGTGCAGGCGGCAGAGAGGCGTTTGGGAAGCGTTTTTACCGC